TTTCCTGGGAAGAACTTCTCTGCCCGCTCTGCCCAGTATCGGTGTCTCTCCATGTCGCAATCCACTCGGCAGTACAAATCGGCCACTGAGAAGAAAAAAGAAATTGACAGTGGCTCCCGTGAAGATCCACTTCCATGTTCCATTTCACTCGTACCCCATGGCAAACAACCACTTTTGAAAGGCTGTCCATCGGGGACAGTGTGAACCTCTACACGGACGCAAGTCAACGACAATGTGGAATTTCTTTTCACCCCAAGAACAGCCAAAAAAAGCTTTCTGCAGGTAACTTTGCAAATAGCTGAAGTGAGAACCGAGCAGTATGCAATAAATTTTGTTGCAGCTGAAACAGCAACCATGCTGAATGCAACCAACCCCCCGCTGAATGCAACAGGGCTGAAACTACAACGCTGCCGAGTGCTGCAAAATGCAACGTTGGGTGAACTCTGCCACCCCGGGGGTGCCACAACATGTTGTTACCATACGGACCTCCCTACTGCCAGCGCTGGCTGCCAAGTCTAGCAATAAACACTTATCAACTAATCCCAGTTTGTCTTCATTCATCATATCTCTACAACGATTGTTCTGGCGTCATGCCTGAAAGGTTGAATCAGGATGGAACATCAACATTCGTTGTTCACATCAAGTTTTATTACACCACTCATTGAAGGCGCAAAATTAAATGTTATTCCGGGGATGCCAGAGTTCATGCGTCCTTTCGTATGAAAAACAAACATAGGCCTGAAACGGTGCAAGAGAATGACTTTTTTGCCTTTGAGAACAATTCCACTAGAATCGAAATGTCAGGCCCTCTATCCTTCAGTGTTTTCGATTTGTACATTTGAGGTCAGTGTACATGTAGCAAGCAAGCAGTTTGCAGCATCTTATGTTAATTGACAAAAGAAATTAGAAAATACAGGTAAATGCCTGGGCAGTTTGACTGTTTTTTTTTTTTTTTGGAGGGGGGGTCTGTTTTCTTTCCCTTTTTTGTGGGGACATTTTTCCTCACCTCTTAGGACCAGATCTTTCTGGCTCTCATTGAGCTCCAGTGCCCGCCGGTAGCTCTGAATGGCCTTCTCGGCATCCTGCAGGGCCTCGTGGATCTCTCCCAGGAGGCGGTGGGCCCTGACATCACTGGGCTTGACAGCGAGGTAATCCTGGACATGATGAAGAGCTCTGTCGAACTCCCTCGCCTGGGCGTACAGACTGGCGATGTGAAAACCCTTCAGTTGGACCTGGCGAGAAGAAAAGGTCCGGGGACAAAAGATGCACTGATAACTCTGTCAATGTTTTGGGGCATTCCCTAACGCGGACATCACCGATTATTTTTCCCCGGCAGTAATGCATATTCAGCCATGAGACATGTCACACGGTGTTTCTTCTGTGATACTGCGTAGAAACCTCAGGAGGGTTATAAACATGCAGACGTAGTGCTGATACAGGTGGCAAGAAAACCTAGCGGAGAGGAAGAGCGTCAACAAGTCAGATAGACCCTATTCAGGTTGACGCCGTTTTTGATCTTATTCCCCAAATCTGTTTTATATATTGCAAACTGCCTATTAGGACGGCACCAGACCTTTTTAAACTTCCATGCATTCAAAGCCTCCCTTTCAATAATTTTCAAAATCGGGCAAGCTACAATTCTGTTTGTTCAATCATGAGTTTGAAATTAGTCATCAGAGTACACAGATGCAAATTTTTGTTTTGGACATTTTGGTGTTGAATTATACTTGTGTAACATAATGGTACCTCTCGAAAACAGAACTGGCTATTTAAAAAAAAAACCTGAGAACTGCATGATCTCTACTTCATCTCTGGCAGTTATTTAATTCTGGAGAAGAAATGATATGAAAAAATTAATACATGTAACACGCGGTCAAAAATAGGCCATGTTTATACATAACGTTTGTCTTAGCAAGTTCTGAATTGGAACCTCCGACTTGGCTTCCGGGTAGGGGCCTACTTAAAGTTAAAACTGTCAATGCTTTTATTTGTTGCCTGCCTCTCTAAAAGTTAACAATGATCTGTGGGACGAAGTTGAAATGGTAAAAATGTTGAAATGGAGGTGAATGGCAATGGGGGCGAAGTGGGGAAAGGCCTAAGCCTCATCGCAAATACTGCATGGGACCTGGGTGATTTTGCAGGTAGAAAGGCATTGTCATGATTGTGGGAAGGAAAATGGGGCAACGTTTGCTCCTTTTTCCTTTCCACAATACCTTTCTACCACTGTGGAAAATCACCCATGCCGTATTTGCGATAAGGCTTGTGGGGTGAAGCGGAAACGGGTGAAGTGAAAGACACCCCTGAGTGAGCTAGTGAGAACAATCCACAAATTAATTTCAAAATGTCGGAAATACACGCTTACCCATTACTTCTAATGAAAACCTGGGCCTCGTTTGACTTTTCTCATTTCCACTTCCGTGACTTCCAGCGCATCAATAACAACAACAGTACCTACCTCACGTGGATTCTTCGCCTTCTCTCGCACAGACTGTAGAAGTTTATCAGCATCTTCTTTCTTCCTATTTGTCTGATTCATTTTGCTGAAAACTGTGGTAGCCTATTTCTAAATTTTACCGTAAAATTTCAAATCAGGTCATGTTCTTCATGACGTCAAGCACTGTCACGAGAGGGCGCTATATTGCGCAGCCATCGCGAGCGCGCGCCACCTGCACCACTCTGAGTACTGCATTTTCTGTGGAGGATAATACTTGTACCTACATATGAAATTTCCATTAACTAAATCAATTATCAAATTGATTGTTGTCGCCTTTTTATCGCCACTTGTGGGCGATAAAAGACCAGAGTTACTGATGGATTCAGGAAAAGTATGTGAGACTGAAATAGTAAAACATTAATAACAATAGGCCGACAGTATTGTGCCCTAAAAAAGTGGTTCAAAACACCTAACATATTGGTGGTTCAACTGATCAGTATAAAACGTCTTCGTAGGCGTCGGTAAGTTTTGTCGCTGAATGGTCATGTCGTTGATTTTGAAGTGTCAAGAGTGAGAGATTTAACCCATCCCTCTGACTATTGCTGCTTTGTTTTCTTTATTGTTCTGAGTATTGTTTTTGCGCGTGTTCACTTGTTGAATTTCCTCTTGGCGTGTAGTCGACATTTTTGTAATGTAGGCCTATTTATAAAATTTACCGGTGTTTTATGAGTATAAAGTTCATTTACTACTCTGTCTTTATTCATTCAAATCTTTAATTGGGGCGTCCATTAATTTGCATCCTTTAAAAATTTTGCTAACTGTCTTTACAGGTCCTAGCCCACTTTGAAAATTAAGGTAAATAAGCTAACCTGAATATATCCATCCACAGTACCAAACTGAACGACTTTTTTTGGGGGGGGGTTCCGAAGTTAATTCCATGGTTCTCATTTCCGATCAACCCTCATCTTTGGCTCTGACCGAGGAAAACAAGAATTTTTTTATGATGCCAATCGATGAGTTGTTTGCGATCACTTACCAAGAAAAACAAAAACTGAAGAGAAAACTGATTATATTATAAAATAAAAGGACAAACAAGTGGGAGAAAATCTTAACCCCCCTTCTCATGAAAACTATAACTACGGATGCCGGGGGGGCTGGTAGATACCAAGAAGCCTGAGCACTCCGAATGTGCCTTTAAGTTCAAGCTTCAAATTACCGTCACGAAGTACACGTTGTGCAAAATGAACACCCACAGGGCTTCTTCGTTGGTACCCGACAGCCTTCACACCAAACTTGCAGGAGGCGAGAACCCGTTATAGCCGAAGACGTCAAATGGTTCGCACATGCGTACTTAGTCGAAAATGGCTGTCGCCCACTGCATAAACATAGAAAGTCGTCCTGAAAATGGCCAGATTTTTTACTTTTGACGAAGATAAGGGTAAGCAAATTGCTATATTAGCTTAGTTTCTGATATAACTTGGCGTATTACAGTTATTTGCGAAGTTGTTATTACCTTTGTGATGTCTGTCAAGGGCTTTTTAAAAAGTGAAACGTGTCACTTTCCCTCGATGACCGAGTCCTCTACACGTAGGCCCCCGTAGCCCGTCTGCCTGCCTGGGCCCCAGCTGTTCTGGGAGACGTTGATAAATTTGACCGGAACAGCAGTGGCATTCCCGTGCTTGGTCTGTTTCTCTCACTGCACTGAGTACTGTCAGCGACGGAGCCCAATTTATAATTTTCCTTCTTTTTGTGAATCGCCTGTGCCAAGTTTTTGTTCATAGTTATGCAAGATTATTTTTCGATTGTTTTTGTTTGCGTGGTCATGCTGGTGCGCATTACATAACTTCTAGCTCGGACTGAGTCAGCGAACACGAAATATTTTGTGGTGTGTGTCGCAGTGCAGACTTTGTTTGCCGACTTAATGTTTCCCTTAACCACTGGACTGTTTGAATTCCATTAAAAAAATAGGCCTGTAGGCCTAATTAGTAAAATAGGAAATGATAAAATATAGGATTTAAAGTGGAGTGCCCCTTTTCATGCTTTTTACACTTGAGTCTCATTCAGGTCATTTGGAGTATTTTTTTTAGTGAAATGGAGCTAGTTAAGTGGCCCCGGTGTACTGAAAACCTGTCCCTTTATGAAAATACTTTACCCATCCTAAGAGAGGTTTAATACTACAAATCAAAAGAAGTTTTGATACTGTGCTTTTATGTTATTGTACAAAAAATAATTTTGAGGGAAGGAGTATTCAGTGAAAAGTTGGTAAAAGGACAAAAGGTGTCATTGCAATAGAAGAACTAGAATATGTTTATAAAAGTTGAGTGGACCAAACCTGTTATGTTGGGTGTGAGATGAATTGTGAAGGGTCACACACTTGAACTCCGGCACTGTAAAATTTTTGTCTCAAAGTGGGAAGCTCGCATGACAGTGTGTAAAGGGCAGTAGGGAAAACACCCAAGTGTGTCACCTTTTGGGACCTTTCCGGGAAGCACTTGGCGCAGCAAATTCCTTGGCATTACATCCTAGTACTAAGTGATCGCACACAGCTGTCGGTGTTTGAATGATTCCAAACAACATACAACATGCATAAGTGCTGGTAATCTTTCACTCATTGTACACGTACAGTAGTTCACAACATGTATGCTAGTTTGTCAGGGACATTAATACCACTCACATGTATGTGAATTCCCAGCACTTGCATGTAGGAATACAACTGGAACCTGTTGTTCAATTGCTCTTCATTCTAATCAGCTTTCATCGATATCTTACTCTGCCAAAAAACATAATTATATTTCCCGTGTTGAAAAGTGGTTACCCAGGAGTTTTGGAAGGCAGTCAAAATTTCATTCAGGTAGCTTTCGGTTTTTGAAGGTAGTTTTATTTCTGGAGCTATCTACCAAGATAATGTGCATAATATGCATTCGCTATTCTACTCTGGCCCAGTTTTGCATCATTTGGTGTGTGCATGGTATTGCTGTTAAATGTTCCTGTAGATTTCCTGTGTTCACAGTATGCAGTTCAAGTTTGTAAAAAGTGCATATACATTTAGTATTTTGCCCTTGACAGTTTAAGAGTTAAACCAGAAGTATCCTAATTGGTGAAGGCCAGGTTACGTATGCATACATGCACAGCTGTATTGGATCATCACCAGATTCATCAGTAGTCTAAAAATAATCTGTTGTGAGGCTGTCCTTTTTTAACGTGGAACTGCATTGAAAAGGAGGATTGGACTCAGCAAAATTATTCAGTTCTTGTGAAAACTCTGAAGGATTTCTAGCACTAAGGGACATCCGACGTTCAGATCCACACAATGCATCTCGGTCAAGGTGCAGATTGAGTCAAGGTGCAGAGTAATGACTGACGCACAGGCAAGCTACAACAAGCGGTTGTCTTATTCGTCACCAGCGAAACAGGATTAGGCCCTGGGGAGACTGGGTGCAGTAGAGTGCCCTGGTCTTCATGTACTTCTGTTAAATTAATCACAGAGCAGCTTTTGTTTACCCTAAGTGTACTTTCAGAGTTACTCCCTGTACTGTGGCATTACAGGGAAATGGTAAATTATGGCACCCATAAGTTTTCACATCTTCATTGTGTGACCCAATTCTGTCACTGTTGTAACGTTTAATAGTACCGTTTCTACAGTGGTAGATGTCCGTTTCACCACAATTTTCCCTGACCTTCTCAGTATCCATATGCTGTGTGATGCGATACCAAACAGACGTTAATTTATGGCATTATAATGGCACGGGAAAGGCGATGCAGTTGGTAAAAAACAATTGGTGAAAAGAGGATACTGGTGTGTTGCATTGTTACATGTATGTGATGTCGGATTGGGTAATAACGGAAATGAATGGAATGGATACATGATTGTATCGTCGTCACAGAGACAGTGAAATCTTGTAATTATGTGAAGTGGCGATGGGAACTTGTGAAGTTCATTTTATTATTGTTGAATTAATTTGTGCAGGTCTATCTTCTGTTTTGTTCACAAGAAATTGCCATCCTCTTCTGTGTTCCAGATGCAGGGACTCTCTGCCACTCCTGTGAATGAGAGTCAAGCATCTTGGGTGGCGTCTTCGGAGAATAGTTCTAATTGTTACCGGTACAAGTGGCATCACAGACAATTTCTCAGTCTGTGCTGAAAGAGTCGCAACCACTCTCTCTTTTCACTATGAGCCCAAACATGCTCATGTAGCCTCTCCAGTCTTCCAGCTGCGGTGGTCATTTGGGTCACTGTCGTTAACCCAAACTCCCTCCTCCAGTCCCTTTCGCCTTTCCCCGCCCCCCAAAGGTTTTATGTAAAAAAATGGCATTTGAAGGACTGAGGAGTGATGGGGCCAAATTTTGCGAATTTGACAAATGCTGATGTTTATTTCAGCTTGGTTAGCAGTCAGACACCTAGACAGAGACTGAAACAGATGACTGTAATTTGTAGACAGAGGAACAGACAGGTAACCAGTTAGTCTGATGGCCAGACAGACAGAAAAAAAAATAATCAGACAATTCAACCCTCCCACTCTCAAAAAGGAAAAAAAAACAAGTGAATGATCTTCCGATGCTAGTGTAGTCTTCCTTTCCTGTCCCAAAATACAGCTTTCCCTAACTGCTTTGCTGCTGGTTAATTGCATCGACATGTGAACATTTCCTGGGAGTTTGAATTTACAAACTGCCTCTTCAGGAAATTAACACAGCATTAGAATGAGTGGGTGTCAATTGATGTCATTTTCCTGTGATGGCGAAACTGATTACTGCGACAAGATTCTTCCCGTTCATTCACGTGAAATGCTTTCATAATTGAAATGAATCACCTGCCAAAATTGTGTACTTGAGCATGGTTTTTCATCAGTTTACTTGATTTTGAGATCTCGACAATATTTTGGGAATTTTCCCGACCGATGTCCCTGACCCGACCCCCCCATATGATAAATTGTTAGAATACACATACATGGACATATGTCATTGAATTTTCTTAGTTGCTCGCCAAGTTGCAATACGTGTGTCACTGTATGCACTTGTTGCGCCGCAGCATCTCCACAGGTACGTGCACATGGCTCCGAGACCCATTAGGGACTTGCTCAGTGCCCCCTTCCCCCTCGACAACAGCACTTCATGTGAGTGTTTGTTACACAAACAGACGAGCCTGTGCCGTCCGGTGAATATTATTAAATCTCCGAACAAAAAGAAAAAAAAAGAAATGGAAATGCTGACCATATGGTGCCAACACAGTCCTCTGTGCATGAACACCGACACGCACATTGTGCCAAGAAGACTCCCCACCACTCACATTTGCCTTCTCTGACTAGTTCTGATTAAATCTGGTATCCTGCCATATGTTGTCTCGTTGTTGTCTGACCCCCCTATTTACTGCAGTAATGAGAGTGGACTACAGGTACAAACTTGATGTGTACGGAGCTGTCGTTGACACCATCAGATATGATAGGCCTAATCGGCGAATCTTCCCAAGATTTGCTGCGATTTGCCGCCTTGGTGTCAGTCGAGACTGGGCTAAATTGCTGTTCCAACTCGCTCACCTCCTAGCCTGGGAAATGTAAACAACTTGACTTCTTTTTTTTCCCCCATTGCACATTACTAGTTCAGTGTTGGTCCTTCAATAATCCGCTCAATGTCTACAGTGGTTCTAGACTCATGCGTGCAGCAGCTGTCCCCACACCTTCCTCATTTGTAAGCAAGCTAAACATAAATTAGAATTCATATTAAGCAGCGTCACTCCTTCCATATGTTTTCGGTTTTTTTTTATCCACATGTGTGCTCTTGGTAGCAATAGAATATGCTCTGTCACATCACGGGCCAAGGCTGTTGATGCTTTTATGACTGCTACACATGTTTTAATCAGGTTTTTTGATAACCCATTTCATGTCCATGCCGAAAGCCTGACTTCAGCTGAATGGCAGTGAGATGAGTTCTGATGACACAATTCATTGTACGCAATCAGCATTGTACGCAATCAGCATAGCTCTGTGGTATCGCGTGTATGATGGGTGGGTAATCAATTGTGATTTGTGGGATGCTGTCATGGGGAGGATTTACAATTTTGTATCTGATGTCAAGAGGTCGGGCGTGCAGTAGTCATCATGCATGTAGGAAGGACCTGTGTCTAACAGTAACATGAACATATGGCACGGCACATACACAGTGTACACGTACATACTGTACATGTATGCTGTACATGCACAAGATGTCTGTCTCTCAGGTATTTCGCAGCATGTTGCTTGTACTCTGTACCCACACAAAGCTGCATACATTATGTTTATCAAATGATGTTAAAGATAGTGTTTGGTATGTTGAATTTGCTAATGTGGATGCCCTGTTGCACGGTTTCATTTCTGTTTCAATTTTGAATCTCATGGAATAATTGGCTAGACATCAGAGCCCTGTTACAAATCAGCAGGTTGTGGTTAATAGCAACGGTGCTGTGTC